CCCCCCGCCCAGCAGGTGGATCAAGTACAAAGTATCCGATTCATTCTGCAAGTTCTTTCCGAACACATGAATTAAAATGAAAGCAGCCAAAAAGAGGCAGATCGTACACACCGGCTATGCGTGCTGACGCCTTAATCTAACTGATGTCACCTCACTGGTGAGGCTTGGGTCAGGAATCCCACAATTAAATAAAAGTTTGCGGTCAATGCACATTAGACAGTCTGCGACAAGGAGTCATTAAGTCATTAATAATTACTTAAGTGATTAAGTGATTAATTAAGTAGTAATTAAATTTAAGTCCAAGTCAACACAGACGTAAGGGGAGGCATTGTGGACGCAGCAGATGCTGGAGATTGAGAATACTGGTGTAAAGATGGATGGAAGCATCGAACACTGGGAGAGACTGGGTAAGTAGTCACTGATTAAATTATCGTTTGTTAACAAACTGTATAGTTTGTATACAAACTAGCTGGCCTTTAAGTGAAACATTATTAAAACATATGATTAGTGCCAGTTCATCTCAGGTCACACACACACACACACACACACACACACACACTATGGGCAATTAAGAGACACCAGTAGCCTAACCGCAAGTCTTCAGACTATGACAGGAAACCCATTTGAAGTGAGATGAACAAGCAATCTCCAGACACACACACACACACACACACACGCAGGGAACCAAGGCAGCCATTGAGCCCCCACCCCAAGAGGAGTGAGACAGTGGCACCACCCACTGAGCCCCCACGACATCAGTGTCAATAAGTGTATTTTATCAATCTGGCCGACTATAAACCATCCCAGCAGGCCATTATTTTGTCATGCTAATAACGTATCGGCCCGCTAATGCTCTGCTTAAATGTCTCTTTCCAATGGTGAAATCTGTGAGGAATAAAATACCTAAATAATATGAGAAAACTCTCCTTCCGTGTGATGAAAAGCTGTTTCCAGGGTACAGGAAAGCACAGGAACGCACACATGCATCGATCGGCTACTGATCAGATTTCCATTGTTAAAAAAAGGTGTCAAATCATCCTCTGGGTCAGGAACGAGCAACCCTCTCCGCAAAGGGCCGGTGTGTATGCAGGTTTTAGAGGTAACCTTTAGGTTAGCTGTTCAAACCCCCACCAATCAGTCCTCTAATTAGTAATCCAATTAAGGAGTTGCAGCGAAAACCCTGCTCTAGGTTATGCCTGGGGTGTCATGGCGGTGAGAGGGTGACTGGAGTGTGGGCTGCCACATGAGGGCGCTCTTCTGTGGTACATCCGTGGTTCACGAGCCGTATTGTAGCATGGAGGTTAGGGGTCTCAATTCAGGAGAGGCCCTTGAGAGTGGGTTTTACTTGGCTCTTAAGAAACTGTCGCCGAGATTAAAGGTGACAGTTAAGGTGACACGGGGAAGCGCTTTGGCTTGCGGGATATAATGCTTAAGTTAGTGTGCAATTCAATCGGTCCAGCTTCCGTGCTCATATTACATTAAGGTGAAGCTCGCTTGGGCCACCGTGAAGGCAGGTATCCTTGGGCTCCGCAAGCCGGCGAGAGACGCAGCAGCTTCTGGGCGGCTGGACTCCTCACTGCAGAACTCGGGTTTTGTGTCCTCGATGGGAGAGTTTGGATCTGGAAGAGCGGGGCCCTCCACCCTGGGGGTGAAGAAGTTGAGGGCATCTGGGAGCGCTTTGTGTCTACTACGGAAACTCTGACATACTTTTGCTTCCAGTAAAACTAACACAGCATCCCATTTCTGCCTGTAATGCCGCCATGATGTTCTAGCATTAAACCAACATCCATCCAACCATCCATCCATCCAACCATCCATCCAACCATCCATCCATCCATCCATCCATCCATCCATCCAAGGGCATAACTTTGGGTTAAGCTTGGGGGTGGTTGAGGTGTCCACCCATTTAAGGGGGTCCAGGAGGTTGTACTGGCTGGTTTTTGATTACTGGGGAGTTACAACCCCTATCCCCCCACAATTTACATCCATCCATCCATCCATCCATCCATCTCCGAACCTCTTATCCTGGTCAGAGGGGGGTTGAGGGGGGGCTGCAGCCTATCCCAGGTAACACAGGGCAAAAGGCCATAAAACTGCTATAATATTACCAGTGAAACCACCATGATGTCCTGTTATTTCCAGTAAAACCAACATCATACATTATGTGACATACTTTTACTTCTGTACATTTACTTAATAATAATAATAATAATAATAATAATAGGTAGACCTATTCTGTGCTCACAGTGCCATTTCCTTTTTAAGATGCATCCACCAATTCATCCTCCATCCTCAGTCCAAACAAACCTTCTATGAAGCCTCTGAAGCATATTCTTCACTGTTCTGGCAAATTCTTCCCAGTGTTCCTGTTTATTTTTTCCCCACAAAGTCAGCCGAATGGGCTTGACCTCAGCACGGAAAGCCAAGCGCACATCCTTTCACATGGAATGTCCGCGCGCATGTCGGAAAACCCCTTCGGTTGCAACGTTTCTCAAGCAGACCTTCGGGGACCCCCAGACAACCCTCCCAGCTAACAGCCAATCAAGAACTCTGGAAAACACCTGGTACAGGTGCTGGGAGGGAACAAAAATGTGGACTAGGTGGGGTCCCTGAGGACTGGGTTCAGAAACACCGATTTAGGGAACATTAATTCTTCTCCTTCTTCTTCTCCTGGTGACTTAATGGTTAGGGAAGCGCACTTGTAATTGAAAGATTGATGGTTCGAATCCCCGACCAGCAAGGTACCGCCCCCAAGCACTGCTCCCCAGGCGCTGAATTAGCTGCTCCCTGCTATGTCACATAAAGGTTAAATGCAGAGGACACATTTCACTGTGGTGTGTCAACGATGACCACTGATCACTGAATTCTAATCCCCAGTATGTCTGATGTTCAGGTTCTTCCTACCACGGCTATAACATGAAGTCGTCTGTGTCAAGCCGTTCTCAGTCCAGAACAGTGGACACAAAACAGAGATACGGGCAAGATCTCTCTTAAGTCAAACTTGGTTCCCTGCTGGACTGGATCGGGTTGATACCAGTATCCTTTCCAGCTCCCCCCCCCCAGTCCCACCACTCTAATTAGCGGTTAATTGTCTGTACTGTTTATATTCATGAGTTTCTGCAGATAAGCCATTTCTTTTGCGATAGAACTAACATTTTCTTGTTGGTGTTAGAGTATTAAGTGCCTATAGACACAGCTCTGCCGTTAAAATGCATTATCTGTGTGTGTGTGGATCTGAATGGGGGGTTATGAGTGTGGATCTGAATGGGGGGTTATGAGTGTGTGAAAGAAATAAAAAAAGAGCTTCTTCATCCTAACAGATGTTCTCGATTGTGGTGACCCAACATCCTCCGCCGTTCTGAGAAAACAGCGAATATTTCACTGGACCTCAGGGACCCGGAGTGAATTTCTCACAGTGACAGAGCCGGATCGGGACC